GCGATGCAGGTAAGTGCAGGCTCTTCATGGAGGCTCTGGGAGGGGAAAAAAATGGGCCTTCTGGAAGTCCAGAAACGGGCCTGTTTCCAGCTTCCAGTAGGCCTCCAGAGGCCAGGGGAGGCTGTTTTTGCCCTCCCAGAGGCCCAGGGAAGGCCTCTGGATCCTTGGGAGGGCAAAAAATGGCCCTCCCAGAAGTCTGGAAACGGGCCTGTTTGCAGCTTCCGGTGGGCCTCCAGAGCCCAGGGGAGGCCATTTTCGCCCTCCCAGAGGCCAGAGGGAAGCCTCTGGACCCTTGGGAGGCCAAAAACTGCCTCTGCCGGGCTCTGGGGGCCCACCGGAAGCCGGAAACAGGAAGTTCTGGTAGTTCTGCCCACTAATTTTTGGAACTGAGGGAGACAAAGCAGGATGTGTCCCTGATCTGTCATCTTATGCTGTCCTCCCAATTTTATTTCCAGTTTGGAAAAGAAATAAGAGACATAATTGAGAGCAATTTTGGAGTGTGCTGATTTGGCACTGAATTTCTTGGTCTGTGATCTCTATGATACAGTATAAGGAACGGCAATTAATATAACCATCTCAATTTCTCTTCCCTGTTGGAGAAAACCAGAAACTTTAGCTAGTAGCATGCTTGAGTAACACCGAGCTTTGGGTTTTTTTTAGCTACAGCCTTAAATGTGCCAGAAGTATGGTGTTGGGGAAGACCGATGAAAATATGGAAACAGGTCATGAATGTATCAATTGAGAATTTTCATTCAAGGCCCAAATGAGCAGGGTCAAATAGACGTATCCTAGACACATAGATGAACACCTTTGAGAAATGAAAGAACATTAGGTGAACATTCTTGAGAAGCCCGTAAAGTTGGCAAAAGTTAAAGAGGAGAAAATGATGGTGTGCAGCAAGGAGGATGAACTCCATTATGACAGTAATGAATGCACCACAGAGAGAGCTAAAAGATCAAGATGAAGACAGACCATCTTGGAGAGAATCTATACGGCTGCTAAGGAATGGCATTGACCTGAGTACACTCAATTACTCAATTGATTTCACCTTTGATTGCTTCTCAAATCTTCCTTTTTTAGTTACTGTATTGGCTTTCAAGGTTATGGGTATTTTTTCTAGTGTGGTCTGCAGCACATTTCGGTAATTGTTTGGGTTCCATGACTCCACTTCCCTTTGATAGTTTAGGCTTAAGCAAGCAGATGAATTTGTGTATTTTGGTGGAACATTTTCTAAAGATGGCCCAAGAGATGGAAAAAAAATTTAAATGTGTTAATGCTGGTAAAAACTTATCAGGTAATATGTGGTTTACTGTAAGAAATCCATGTTTGTTGAAAGAAACAAAAATGGCTGCATGGAAGAATGTACTTTTACTGGTTTTGCTTTTCTGAAGTAGAAATCAAATTGGACAATGCACTAGACTAGAGAACTAGTAGAGATCAACCCCAATGGGGATAAATTTCAACCAGATCATAATAAAGGTATTTCAAAGGACACCCACCCCCACACAAAAAAAATCAATGCCGTGCTTTTTATATATTTTCTTGCTGTGAAAGCAGGACACCGTAGGAAAGATAATAGATGCTTTTGAATTATGCAAGCCGAAGCTCAGATATTTTGGACGCCTGATGTGAAAAGATGATGGATTTGAAAAACGAATACATCTGGTAAGATAAAGGGAAACAGAAGCCATCTGCAAAGGTTAGGAAGTTCGGAGATCAAGTCGAGGTGAATCTTTGGCATTTGCAGGTTGCATTTTTTTTGGGGGGGGGGACAATTTGTGGGCCACTTTTAAGGGTGTGCTGGCTATAAACACTTTGGGCAATTGGCAATATGGAGGGGAGGAAAAGAGCATGACCAGAGTCTGAAAAGTCACCAAGCCTGAAAATGAAAACAATCCATGGCATACAGCAACCCAGTGCAGAGCTCTACAAAACAGACAATTGTCCAGTGGTGGGATTCAAATTTTTTTTTACTACCAGTTCTGTGGGTTGGCTTGGTGGGCGTGGCAGGGGAAGGATACTGTAAAATCTCCAGTCAAAGGTGTATTTGCCGGTTCTCCAAACTACTCAAAATTTCTGCTACCGGTTCTCCTGAACTGGTCAGAACCTGCTGAATACCACCTCTGCAATTGTCCATAAACAGACCATTGTGAGTACTGGTGGGGAGGGGAGAGAGAAACTCAATTTGCAAGTTTATAGAGGAATGAAAACAGTTTTCACGTGCAAATGAACTGAGATTGGCTATGAGAGCTAAAGACCTGGTCCGCATGGAAGGGGGGGATATTTAAAGAGAAAAGAAATAGTTAAGAAAAGAAAACATAGTGCTACAAAAGCAGAAGAGAAACGGCTGTTTGATGTCTTTCTCCCTAACAGCAAAAATACTTCATATTGTGACACAACAGGCAGCCAACCACCACGGAAAAACTAACATTACCGTACAAAATGGGGAATGTCAAAAAAGACAGCCAGAATCCTCCAACCCCTAGGAATAACAATAGCTCACAAACCCACAGCCACACTCTGCCAAGAATTATCCAGAACCAAAGACGAAATACAGACAGATGAAAGAAACAGTGTAATTTACAAAATCAACTGTAACCATTGCAACCAATTCTACGTGGGACAAACATCAGGTCAATTAAAAAACAGGATCCATGAACACTGGCTTGCAATCAAACGCCACAATCCCAAATCCTTAATCTCTACCCACCCCAACACCACAGAGCACCAGTTGGTTTGGAGCAACACAAAAATTATAGGCCACATCAGTGGTGGGATTCAATTTTTTTTACTACCGGTTCTGTGGCGTGGCTTGGTGGGCGTGTCATGGCTTGGTGGGTGTGGCTTGGTGGGTGAGGCAGCGGAAGGATACTGTAAAATTTCCATTCCCACCCCACTCCTGGAGGAAGGTTACTGCAAAATCCCATTCCCTCCCCACCCCATTAACCTTCTTTCCAGCTCCATTCTCCTATGCAGGGCAACAAAAGAATACCTAGCCGATCAGCTGGGACTCGGGAGGCAGAGAATAGATGGAGGTGGATCCAGTCAGAGGTGATATTTGCCAGTTCTCCGAACTACTCAAAATTTCCGCTACTGGTTCTCCAAAACTGGTCAGAACCTGCTGAATGCCACCTCTGGGCCACACTATTACCTGCTATGCTTGTGAGTTCATCAAAACCTGGCACTCCACAAGCAATTCCATCAACAGACACATTGACCTACAGCCAGCTTACAAACCCCTCAGAATCCAAACCAACCACAAAGCCAACCAGAGGCAGCACCAACCCTCAACCAACCCACAAAACTGCCCCCCCACCAGATCTTGACATGATGTGTGATGACCCGGGGTGTGACACAAAAATAACGAAGTCACAAAAGTAGAATAAATTCCCTTTAATGCCTCCAACTTGGGCCCCAATGTCCAATTATCCTCGGCTGGATATCAAACTCTTCCAAAAACAGTCTATGAAGGGACTAAATGCAGTCCGAACCCAAAGTAAAGATAATTAGAAATTTAAAAAAACCAACACAAACCACACTGCAGGCCAAGATGATAAATTGCAGACTTCCATAAGACAACACAGCAACCACAGTTGGGAAGACGCCAAAACCCAGATAAGCCTCGATAAAGATAATGCACACTTTGCTTCCAGCAAGGAGCTGTGTGCAAACACCCCACTTATATCCTGTTCTCCCAACTGCAACTAATGAAAGGGATCAGGGCCTTTTTCTCTCCTGTGAGCCATGTTGCTCCCTTCTCCGTTCCTCCCTGCGTGCCCTAGGATGAAGAGGGGGTGGTCCTGGGTCTTCCTCTGAATGCCCAGCCAGACTGTGCCTTTCCCCTGTTTCTTCCACAGCCACCGGAGCAAATTCCCACTCCCTGATCAGCTGCTCAATCTCCCCCTCAGAATCAGACTCCAACAAGGGCATGACATGATGTAACCTCCCCATCACAAGACCTGTCAAAAGATTCTCACTTGACACACCCACACCTGATCCATCACAAGACCCTCACTTGACATACCCACACCTGGAGCCTTTATAAACAGAGGAACACTGACAGCGACATCCCCTGAACTCCACTGAAGATGTTACCTAGCCTAGTAATGGAACGTTCAGAAACCAACCCACAAGTTCAGAGAATGAACCTTCACCCTCACATAGTGCTGCAAACCTTGGAATTGGAACACAGAAATAGAACACAGAGATAGAGTTGTATAGATGAAACAAGAATAGAAATAAGGGTGCTTAGATCTGGCCCATGGGGATGCCCTGGAAACAGCGAAGGACCGCCCGCAGTGCCGCTGCCAATGAGCTCCGTTTTTGCTGGAAGAGGGCTGGAGGAGGCCATCGCGGGCGAAAAATGGCAGTTCAGCTGGCCACGTCTACCCCTGCCCCCCCCCCAAGGTCAAACACAACCCTGATGTAGCCATCAATGAAATAGAGTTTGACACCCCTGATATATAGTAATACAAAGACAGAATAAGCTATGTGGGAAAATAGAAAGAAGCACAGAATTTGCATTAAGTTTAGAAGTAAATGATAGGAATTTAATTTTGAACAATAAAATAGTGTTGTGTAAAAAAAAAACCAATACAGTCTTTGTGTCTGTGTTTTGTACCATATTAAGAAAAATCCTACTGTTTTGTCTTCCCAGATTGGCCAATATTCTTGGATTTCCTAAACAGTCTCCAATTAAAGTACTAACCACAACTGCCAAGCATTAGTTTCCACGCTCTGACAAGATTAGCACAGTGAGGCACACCAGGGGAGATTGTACTTCTAAACAGCAATATCGTGAGATAAAAAATCTATCATGTTATGTGTGAAAACCATAACCTTAGTATAAGTTTTGGAATGTGCATGATTAAATGAAAAGTCAAACAATATCTGCCTGCAAAGAAAAAAAACTATAAATTTTAAACATTGAGGACAAAAATCTATCTAGTATTTTGTTTGAACAAAGAGACACTTGAATGCACAGCTACATATTTTTTTACCTGTAATCTCATTCTCTTCAAGGTTGATCATTTCAAGAGCCTGCAAAGAAGTCAGCTGGTCAGGAAAAGTATGAAATTTGTTCCTGGACAGGTTGATATTTCTCAGGTGTAACAGGGTTCGGACCTCTTCTGGCAGGTGATGAATATAATTCCCTTCCAGATTAAGTTCTGCAGTTGGACAGGATGGACAAACAATAAAAAAGCAAATTGACTCTTACAATCATTCACCCATTTTTTTTTACTTCGGGCAATATTCCTATTTTTAATTATAATGGGAGAAAGATAATAAAGAAAAATAGGTATCTACAAAGATTTTGGGTTCATTTCACCCAGTTTTAGGAGTTGTATAGCGAACAGATCTCATTTTAGGTATATGTATGAAGAAATATTGAAATTTCAAAAGGTATCACAAACTTTTAAACGTTGCAGAAGGCTTCATTTATGGATGTTTAGAAGGACTGCCTATTCCAAAAATTTCATATAGTAAAATATATGTGGGGGTGCACAAAGGGAGGCTCAGCCAATCTCATTGTATACATGTTGTATTCTGATAATAAAGGTAATAATAATAAAATCTTGGAAGATAACACACTCTCTTTTTAATATTCTAGAAAAGAATATTCTTTCTAATCAGAAATCTATGTAATTACTGTAGGTAATTTTTCACAATAAATACAATGCCTATAATACAATGCTTAAAACAAAGGATCTTTGGTGCTCTGTGAGCTTGCTTGTTTTCTTGCAAATGTTTCATTACTCAAACTAGGTAACACCATTAGTGCTTAAAGCATTCATAATCAGACATTACTTTGAAGGATGTAATGTACTGTTCTAAACCCATTATCCCTCAACCATTTTAGAAGTGCAATTGATGTAAAAAAATTAATGGGAGTGGTCTTTCTGTCTGCATATTTGGAAAGTTGTATATTTTTAGATAACAGATAGCTTCTGCCTTTGGGGAATCAACCATCAACCTTAAAGGATCAAGCAGTCATAAAATATGCTGCAGACCACCCTTGGTAGAATGGTCATAAAAGGGCTTGAGAAGATATTCTGATGCCGTCATGTATCTACACCTACGGAGATCAGAACAGTCCAAGCAAATTCCTTATGACACTCTGTTGAAGTCAGAATGGGATTCTGAAAAAACAATGTAGGAACAGAATAAAATGTTTTTGAACTTTGGTATTGGGGAAATCTTCTGAGAATATTGTGGACTCCCAGGAAAACAAATCAATATATCATTGAACAAATCAACTCAGAGTTCTCACTGGAGGCACAAATTATTCTCCTTCAGACACATTATGTGAAAACCTAACTCTCTGGAAAAGCCTCTAATAATGGGAAAGGTGGAAGGAAAGAGAAGATGACAAGCAGCTGCATAGTAGATGGTTATGGTTACAGTAGCGATGGATACATTATTGGAAGTAAAAGAAAGACCAAGTAGGGACCTTTTGTCATGGTGAAGATATCATCACCAAGAGCTGACATTAATTTGAGGGTGCGTAATCAAAAATAATTCAAACTGGAAGGATCATGGATGTTTTAGTTGTTATGGTCCTTCAAGGATGACCTGAACTCATGGTGGCTAAGGGAATAGATCCATGGAATTTTCAACATTTTTCTAAAATGACTTGCCAACATCTTTTTCCTAGAGCTTAGAGAGAATGACTGTGTGATGACCCAGGGCGTGGCACAAAAGCAACGAAGTCACAAAAGTAGGTAAAGACCCTTTAATTCCTCCAACTTGGCCTCCAATGTCCAGTTATCATCGGCTGGAGGAAAAACTCTCCCAAGAACAGTTTTTTAAAGGGAAGAAATTCAGTTCGAACCCAAAGTACATATAAATTATAAATAAAAACCAACACAAACCAAGCTGCAGCAATTAACGAGACAGGGCAGGATAAGGAATTGCAGAACTCAAAAGATAACGAAACACATACAGTTGGGAGGACGCCAGAACCCAGATAGGACTTGGCAAACAAAGATAATGCACGCTTTGCTTCCAGCAAGGTTCTGTGCGCAAACACCCTCTTTATCCTGTTTCCCCAGCTGCAGCTAATGAAGGGAATCAGGGCTTTTTTCTCCCCCGTAACCCATGTTGCTCCCTTATCTGTTCTTCCCTGCGTGCCCTAGGATGAAGAGAGGGGGGCTGGGTTTTCCTCTGAATACCTAGCCGGACTGTGTCCTTCCCCAGTTTCCTCCACAGCCACCGGAGCCACACTCCCACTCCCTGTTAGCTGTTCGACCTCCCTCTCAGAATCAGACTCCAACAGGGGCATGACAGACTGTCCCGGTGTCCCGTAGCCAGATTTGGCACCGTAAGAACTTTTAAAAATTTGTTCACAACCCTTTAATCCCTTTATTCAGGGTGAAGTCAGGGCAACTGAATGAAGCTGAGCATTTACTAGCCCAGTGCTCTTCCTGACACCTATGCAAAGTTCACAGCAGATATTTTCTCTTTGTGCTCTGATAGAAAAAGATATGTTGCTGCTAGGATTGAACTCTCAATCAATGTGGTGGCCTAAAGATAAAGACGCTGACCTCCCACTGCAATGGCTTCCCGCAACTCTCTGCCAGTGAAAGGCATCCCTCCCAAGCTCCATTTTCGCTGGCAGAGTGTTCAGGCCACCACAAGCGCTTCTGACCTGAGTGACATCGATCTGGCCGTGCCCAACCCAGCCTGCCCTGCCAGCTCCCCCAACATCAAACACAACCCTGATGCGGCCCTCAATGAAATTGAGTTTGACACACCTGCACTAAGTGTTATGTCCAAAGAAGGAAAAAGTCACTTGTATCTGCCTAAAAGATAAGACAGCCAACCTTCTCTGTGGCATAAATGGATGTGGTAAGGAAAGCTCTCACTAAAGCACAACCAAAATATTTGGAGTTAGAAACATTAAAATATGCTTTTCAGATAGTCCTCGACTTACAACCCGTCACTTAGTGATTGTAACAATGGACCCTTCCCCAAAATAATCCGATTTTTGAAATTATGATTGCTGTACACAATCACACGATCACATATTGGGCCAAAAACGGCCCCCCAAAATGGCCTGAAAACTGCCAAAAAGCAAGCTGAAAAATAGGCAGGGGCGGGGCCAGCCAGTGGTGGGATTAGACCCAACCGGCTGAATCCTACCTCTGCCTTTGAGGGGAATGGCCGGAAGCTGGGGCTGGTTGTGATGAGTGACGTCACCCACCCAGTCACATGACTAACCAGCCACACCTACCCAGCCAGAGAACCGGTTAAGTTATTCCAAGCCCACCACTGCTTCTATCAAAAGCCATCATATCATTTCTATATACTGTATTTCCATATATTTATTACCAAGTGAAATACCATCATTCAGACCAGAGATCTGACATTATCATCTAATATAAAGACTTGTTTGGGCAAGTTAATCTTGCTTTTTTAACATCTTCATCTGCCATTCGACAGCAGACCACACCAACATTCATTGCTTGTGTGTTGCAATAGAAGGGACAAGAATTATGAGTGCTTGTCCTTAGGTAAAATCTCATCATTCTCTGCTCCCATTCAAAAGAGATGGCATTACCCTCTGTTCTAAAAGTGAAGTGGAGGTAGCACATAGCAATGACTTGGTGCCAGAGGATGGGATCCAATTTATACTCTGAAATTTCATACATCTACTTAAATGTGACCCCAAGAGCCATATCAAAAATCGCTGTTTCCAAAATTGCTGTAGGGTTGCAATTTTACCAAAGTGGAACACAGGAGTAAATGTATTCTATTAAATGTAATACATGAAAGGGTTGGGTCAAAGCACTGGATCCATATAGTCATTCAAGAAAACCTTTTTCTGACAACTGCACACTCCTGGTGCAAAAAGACCGCAATCCACAGTTGATCCTGAACAAATTCTCAGTTGCTGCTATGTTCTTCAGCCTATCAGCCTGAATAAGACTGAAGTATTTTATTAACCTACATCAAATACCAACCCTAGAGAACCAAAAATAACAGTTGATGTCACCCAGCTGACAAATGTAAACAGCTTCAAATACTTGTGAAGCATCATCTTTAGTGATGGCTCTTTGGAGAAAGAAATTGACTCATCAGCAAGGCCAGCCAAACTTTGGGGCTACTGCATGCCACAGTGTTCAGCCAACACAACCTCCACATGTCACAACGCTGAAAGTCTACAGATCTATAGTTATTTCTTCTCTCCTTTATGGATGTGAATCCTGGATGGCGACTCATCAAAAACTACAGAAATTTCACATACAGGCTGTCCATTCCATCTTTGGCATTCATTGAGAATATTGTTCCTCCAATCATGCCTCCTTGGATTATTGAGTCCCTGATCATCAGAGCTCAAATGTGGTGGGTGGGACATGTCATTAGAATGGATGGCCATCATATGCCTCACTAGTTGCTCTGTGGTGAACTAGAAATCAGAAAGACCTTGAGGTCATCTGCCCAAGCACTACAAAAATGCTGCAAAGGAAACCCTACATCAATGTGACAGTCAACCAAGGGAATTAGAAGCGATGGCTGCCAACAGAACCCATTGGTAAGTCCTATACCATGAAGCCAAAATCAGCTTCAGAGACAGGCATCACCAATAACTGATGGAAACCCATGAGTGGTGTCACAGAATAATACCCAAAGTTATGTACAATGACTGTCTCCATTATGCTAGTCTCTGCACTTCAGACTGTGAACCTTGGGGTCCACAGGTGAACTACACAACAGTGTCTTCTTTGAAGCCAAAGGACTACCTATTATTACATGAAATGAAATGGAATGAAATACATGTTTACGCTTAAAGGTATTTTCTGGTTTTAATAGTTTAGAGTTTAGACCCAGGAATGTCTGCACAAGTGCCACACACAAAAAAAATTGGGCGAAGTTTCTATCACACTATCATGGATGCCATTTTGACTTTTTTGACCACTGCCTGCAGACTCCTAAGTATTTTTTTTCAATTCATCTGCCATTTTTTTATTTTTCCTGTTGTCCCTGGATTATCAAGCTCATTTGTTAATTTTGTCTACATATACCAATTTTCCAACTTTTAAATTTTGCTATTACATAAAGGACCTGTTTTCCCTTTGGATGCTATTTGTCAAAAATAGTTCGGAGCCAAGACTGAAAAAAGAGAGGAAAACTGTTCCATCTCTTCAATTGCTTCAGAATTAATTGA